GAAAGGGTAGAGGTAGATGGTGTTATCCTGTAGTGGAAGGAAATAAAACTTTGGGGTAGGTGAGGTGAAGCTGTACCCCTGAAATTGTCTAGATTGCAAAGCAGTGTTAAATAAATAGAACTTTATTTTTTAATTTTAAAAAGATTTATTTATTTATACAAGAACCAGGGTACAGGCCAGATGTGCGGGAGGGTGAGAGGATTCACCAGAGACAGAGCGGGGAACAGAACAGGCAGATTGACGAAATATACTGCTGAGGGGAGCAGCGGGCGAGGCAGGAGAGGTCTGCTGCGCCATGTGGGATTCTCGCTGGCCAGGATCGAGCCCGCACTGCAGAGGCTGCGGACAGCTTCACAGTGCGGTGCTCAACCGCCTGCGCCGCCAGGGAGGCCCCAATCTTTATTTTTTTAAAGAAATCTTGACAAAGGTACCTAGAGACAGAGGCCAGAGACCAAGATATAGAGACAGAGATGGAAGAGAGAGAGAGGGAGAGAGGAGAGAGAGAGGCGAGAGAGAGAGAAAAGGAGGGAGAGAGAATAAGAATGTATCATAGTAAAAAGTTCAGCTGAGGGAACGTGGAGAAATGAATAGGAAAAAGGAAGACAGAGTACAAAGAGACTGCAAAAACAGTACGACATGCAGAGATTCGGGGATCCCCATGGTTGGACAGGGAAGTCAGAGAGATGGGAAGAGCCGGAACGTAGCCGAGAGACAGTCAGACAGGAGTGGGATGCACGGAGGGGAGGCTGTGCCAGCCCTAAATGGCCAGGTCCATAGCAGGACAGGATGGATGTGAATTTTATGCTTAAAGGCATCTAAGGCCAAAAAAAAAAAAAAGAGACCAGAATATTTTGCTAAGTATCTCGGAGGGATGGAAATGATTTTGCAATGTGTAGGGTGCAGAGGAAGGCCTCAACCTGGCCGTGCGGCCCTGAGCCGAGGCCCATCCTGGGCTGAGCCTGGCCGACTCTGGCAGGCTGCAGGGGCTCCCCAGTCCTCCTCGGGCTGTTACCAGCTGTGTCTTTGGTTTCTCTGCAAGGTTTGCAGTGAAGGCAGGACCCTCTGGGGAAGAAGCAGGAAGGAAAGGGTTGGGGAAGACAGTGTAGAGGGATTTTCCTCTGTGGGATAGATGTAATGAGGCCTTCCATCAGTGCTTCAGCTCACTTCATTTATTCTTATGACTGTCAGAGGAGGCAGGAACTGTTAACACCTACTTGTACAAAGGGGTAAGTTGAGACTCAGAAAGAGGGCATCACTTGCCCAAATAAATGGCAAAACCGGGGTGCAAACCAGGCTCTGAGCCCATTGGGCTGACCTCTAATAGCAGGAGAGACAGAGATACAGGCACTGACAACAATGGTGGCGGTGGTGACTGAACACTTGTTCTGAACTGTTTAAAGCCTGTCTCCTCTGCTGTCTCATCAGACCACACAGCAACCAGATGAGCTAAGCTTATTCTTCCCTCTTTGCAGTTGAAGAAACTGAGGCTCACCAAGGAAAAAACCCTTGCCCATGACAATAGAGCCTGTAACCATCAGAGACCATGTTTGCTCCCAAATATCCCAAGGGTGCCTGTCCTGCCTGAGCAGGGGAGGGATGGTGCTTGGGCCAAATTGGAGTCTTTCTTGAGGGGCGTGGCTGGCAGCCTCTGTTAACTGAATGATGGGAAGTGTGAGGGGGATGTCCGGGTCAGCCGTCCATGAGCCTGGCAGCTCCCAGTCTCTCTGAGCCTCCATACCTGCATGCAAAATGGCCAGATGGAAAACTGCAAACTCCTGCTGTCCCGTGCCTCTCCTTCCCCGTGTAAGGGAAACCTCTGCCTGAGCCCAGTCTAAGGAAGTACCAAGGGTTAAGCTCTCCCATCAGAGGTAATGGAAGAAACTCCCACGAATCAAGGGTTGGTTCTACGCCCATCTCGGGCCTGACAAGAGGAATGATGTGGTGTTGAGAGCATGGGCTTTAGGGCAGACAGGCCAAGTTCATGTGGTTTCTACCACTTACAATACTATCTTGCAAAATGACCTCACTTCTTGAAGCATCTGTTTGCTATGTGTGGAAAGAGGAGACTAACAGTTAAAACTCCCCAATATTTATTCTCCCTCCACAGCACCCCAAGATGCAGGTGGTAGTATACCCATTTTACATTTGTGGGAACTGAGGCTCAGAGAGGATAAAAACATGTTGCAAGTCATGTGGCCAGTAACTAGTGGGTAGAAGTCAAGCCACTAGCGGTGGAGTGTCACATTCATGACCCCAGACCTCTCTATATGTATGGAGATCATAACTGGACACTCCCAACACACCTCTCGCTCCATCACTGCCTTATTTCTCGCCTCCCAGCCTCACTTTTGACCATGTGGAGTCTACCAGCTACAGCCCAGCTCACCCTCGATGCCAACCTAGTTAACACCACCCAAAGTAAGAAGGATGTTTTTCTGTCTGTTTGGGACATCCCCCTTTGGACACCCTTTGGATTCATGTCAGATTCATAGGGTACAGAAAACACAGGTTTCCTCCACACCTCTAGCCCCCATCAGGACATATCTGATTAGTTCAGCCAGTGTCCAGCAACCACTGGTCTGCTCAGTCATATTGGAGCAGGGGTAAAGCAGTGGACGGTCGCTGTCATGGCTGTGTTGGGAAAGGTTGGCTAAGTGGCTGGGGAACTTTACTGGCATCCCTACTACAAGCTTGATTCTCTTTGAAGCTGATGTGCATGGACCAATTGTCATGTCCTAGACCCTCTGCTTTATTTGTACAATCCCTTTTCCATGGGACTTAGAGGGGAAAGTAAGTTACCCAGTATCTCACCTAGAGTGAACAGATCTGGCATTTGAAACCAGTCGTTGAGCTACAGTGTGTCTTCTGACAATTCCAATCCATTCATGTCTGTCTGGGTCCCTCTGTAACTCTTGCCAGGTGTTTTTCTATGTCTCTGCCTCTGTTTCCCTTTTTCTCCTTCTGTAGAATTGCTAGCCAAGCCTACCATTACAGTCAGCCATGACTCCGTCATAGAGCACAAAGAAAATGTGAGCTTCCACTGTGACACCAATGACGTCAACATTACCATCCACTGGGTCTCCAACAACCTCCCCCTGGTGATCCACGAGCGTATGCATCTGTCAGCAGATGGCAAGACCCTCACCATCCTCACTGTCCACCGAGAGGACTTCGGAACTTACCAATGTAAAGTCCAGAGTGGAGTCCAGTTCCAGAACAGTAATCTCATCTGCCTGACTGTGAACTGTGAGTCCCTTTCCATTCTCCCCCGCCTCTCACTGACACCTACTTCCTTGGTGATCTAATTTTGTCTCACAGCTTTAAATACCATCCAAATGTGGACTCATCTACTCTTGAGGCATATAATTGATGTTTCCACTCGGATCCCGATGGAAACACCCAGCTTAACAGCCCTAAAACTGAGTTCCTTCACCTGTGGATTTTGATTCAAAATCTTGTCTTGGGGGAAAGAGCAGTTGCCAGCTTGCTTAACACATGTCTTCCAGGGCCTCCCCTGGTGGCGCGGCGTTTGATCGCTGGGCTACGAGGCTGCCTGCGGCCTCTGCAGTGCTGGTTCGTTCCCCGCCGCTGGCGAGAGTCCCACAAAAAAAAAGAAGACATGTCTTCCAGTTGTGCTTTACCCAATGATAATACTCACTTTTAATCTCCATTGGACCTCTGCATCTCTGTAATTGATCCAGAATTTGGGTGGGGAAAAGAAATGCTAGTCTGTATTGGTCTTCTAAGTTCCCCAAAGAGAGCTGTTGCTGTGGTTGTTCTTATCCTCCTAGATGGTCCTGACACCATAGAAATCAAGTTGCAGCCTGGTGTACCCAATGGGAAGGTGGTTGAGGTGATGGAGGGCTCCACCATGACCTTCTCAGTGGAGACACAGTCTTACCCACTCCCTGCCTTTTCTTTCCTCCCCAATGACTCTGTCCAATCTTCTACTATAACCACATTCACCATCCAGCTGCATCCAGGACACAAGGGCATGTATAAGTGCTTGGTGTCCAGTAATGTCACCCAACTGTCCCGCCTGGGTACTCTTGAAGTCCGAGTCCTCGGTGAGTCTCTACCCTGTTCCGTACTTGTTTGCCTGAGAATCAGCTACACCAGTGTCCTAGATTTGGGGGAGGACAGAGGAGTGCTGACTTCCCGTGTAGCAGGTGGCAGAGTGGGCTCTTGGTCACAAGGACGGAACTCTTCCTGGCTCAGCACATCCTTCACAAGCCCTTGTTGGCTTTTTGTGGGATGCCATGATTTGATCTCTGGAAATGTGTGTGTGGAGGGAATGGGGGTTGATTCTGCATACATACAGACACTGCATACATACATACTAACATAACACTCACACACTGCATATACACAAGGACACACATGCAAATAATCACACAGGCACAGCACATTCACATATAACTCACATGCAAACACATAGTATATAGTATCACAGAGGTGACAACACTTACAGAAACACATATAGCATGCACACTACAGATACACAAACCATACACAGTACATAACACCTCGCATACATAACACATACACTGTACACATAAACCCAAAGCACATACACACATATATACTCACATAAGTTCATGACACATGCAGTACACACAGAACGTGGATGCACATGTCTCACATATGACACACAATTACACAGACACAGCACACGTAAAACTCATGCCACATGACATGTGTACAACATGCATGAACAACACACATCACAGACATGAAATATCCTCTCACACTACACAGAACACATCACACTCAACATCCTCAACATATGCACACAACTGACTGTATAAACATAGTTCACGTGCAATACAATCATACACAAAACATGTACACATCATACAATGCATCCATGTGACATACAATACCACACAATACCACAAGAGTACACATACATAAATATACATACCACACACACACAAAGAACACATGTATACACCCACACCTCAGTGTCAACATCCACATACACATATACACAGAACAGTCCACACTACACAATCTCTAGACACACAAAGCCCATCACAAATTCACATGCTTCCCACAGAATTCATACACACACCCAACACAAACTCTTACAAAAAACACTTACACATACCACTCATGCAGTGCTGCTACAGACGAGCACAGACATACACACCTCACCACAGCACATATACATACATCCTTGGAAACCCTGTGACCCCACATGGACAAGAGGCTGGGGAAGTGTCCTCAAAGCGCCCCGTATCTCAGGTATTTTCAGAAGGCTGACCAAGACTTACATCATGTCCCCAAGCTTGGATCTCATGGGACCTCAAGCTCCATGGCCCTGACCTGCCAGACCACCCAAGAGGTGGCGGGGTCTAATGGTTCCTGAGGTACCAGCCCCTCCTGCCTAGTGAGCGCTTGGTGCTGTCTGCCAACAATAGGACCCTGGCCATCCGCGGCCTCCTGTGGAATGACACAGGGCCCTATGAATGCGAGATCTGGAACTGGGGCAGCCGGATGCAGAGTGACCCGCTCAAATTAACCATCCACTGTGAGTCACCCCAAGTGTGGGCCTTCTCCTCCTCTCTCCTTCCTCCCTCTCCTTCTTCTTCTAGTCACTCATTCCATGATTAGCTCATACCTGCTCTGTGCCAGGCATGATGAGCTCATACCTGCTCTGGACACTGGACAAGACAAAGCACCTGCCCTCAAGGAACTTACCTTTTAGCAGAGGAGACAGACTATAAACAGCGATGCGAGGGAGACACATGGATGACTGATGGGGCTAAGGTTAAGGAGAAGCAGGAGGCAGTAAGAAGGACAGTGCTGCAGTCTTAGCTGGAGGGGTAAGGGAGGTCTCCCTGAGGAGGTGCTCCCTGTGCATAGACAGGAGGAGGCAGGAGTGTGTCATGTAGGCAGCTAAGGCAAGAGAACTAAAGGGAGACTGGGGAGAAGAGGTTTCTGCCACAAGAGAAAGCAGGAGTCCACTGTTATACATGTTAAGAAGCAGAAAGAGAGCCTCCCAGTGGCACAGGGGGTTGAGCGCCGCGCTGTGAAGCTGTCCGCAGCCCCTGCAGCGAGGTTCGATCCCCAGGCGGCCAGGGAGATTACCACATGGCGAGGCAGACCTCTCCTATCTCGCCCGCTGCTCCCCTCAGCAGTGTACTTTGGTCTTCTGCCTGTTCTGCTTCCTGCTCTGTCTCTGGTGAATTCTCTCACCCTCTCCGCGCCTCTAGCCTGTACCCCAGTTCTTATATGCATAAATAACTAAATCTTTTTTTAAAAAAAGGAGGATATAGAGAGAGGTTGAGTCTATTTTTTTCTCCTTTGCCTCCTTCTGTTGATTCCTCTCTTCCTTCCTTCTTCAGTCATTAAACCGAAAATGACCATTTTGTTCTCTCTATGCTGAGCACTATGTTGGGCACTGATAAAAGCCATGACTTTCAGACTCATAGCTACTGGGGACAGGGAGGTGAAAGGGCAGATTAAATACAGTGTAAGTGCCACCAGAGGGAAAGCTAAGAGGATCTGGGGAACCAAAAGGAAACTACCACCCAGTCTGGAGTGTGTGGGAAGGCTCTCTACCATGAGATCTGAAGGATGAGCAATTAGCTAAATTGAGCTTATTCGAGGAAGAGCATTGTAGGCAGAAGGAAGAGAATGTGCAAAGGCTCTGTGGCAAGAGTGAACATGACCGGGACGAGATCTCCAAGCAGGATTTTATTCCTGGATTGAGAATGGGAGGTATGGAGAGCTGAGGGATGGGGCTGGAGAGGAATCCACTAGGGTCAGATTGTGAATGGGTTTGTCAACCATGAGCTTTGTTCCAAGGACACTGGGGAGCCATAGAGGGTTCTGAACAGAGGAGGAATAGTGTCCAGTTGTACCTAA